AAATATTTTCTTTAAAAGCACCTCCAGTCATTTAAAAGCACTTCCAAATAAGTCAGCAAATTTTCTTCAGTAGTATGAAACTATTAAGTATTGAGTAGTTCAGAAATAAATAATAAAGATTGACTCTAAGGAATCGAGTGATGAAGATTGTTTAAAAAACCAAACTACTTGGTAAGTTGAATGGCTGAAGACAAACTCTTGGAAAATAAAAAAGAAGAAAAATCATCGTATTTGAGCAATGGTGTAATAGACGAGAAAAATAACTATTTAAAAGGGTCTTAGTCCACTAAACAAGTTACAATAAGCCGAAACTAGTATTAAGCTGGTTACTTAGTCATCAATACATCGTATAAATCGAACTTGATATATTCTCCAACAAAGTGATCGGATGCCACTTAATTGACTGATCATGTGCATGTGTAGATTGATTAATTAGAATACATTGTTTTATTGAAACGTAATGAAATGAAACAACATTTCGTAATACTTGGTATGTTTTAACTAGACAAAAAGGGAATTGTTATTGACACTAAAAAAATCTCATTCTACACTCCAAACTTTTTATATTTGAAAAGAAAAATACACTTGTGAGGAATGTAAAATGAGATTTTTGGAGTATCAATAACACTGTCCGACAAAAAAAGATTTGTAATGTGTGTAATATAATTGCAATTGCTTTAATCTGACTTTAAGGTGAATTATAGGGTGAAATGAAATCCTAAGACAAGACATTTCAAATTTGTGTAATCTGACCGCAATTGCTTTAATCTGACTTTAAGGTCGAATTATAGGGTGAAATGAAATCTTAAGACAAGATAGTTGCGCGTGCAAATGTGATATAATCTAAATCTAATCAATTATCAAAGCATGTTTGTAAACAGTTTAATGTTTGAAGATGTTTTGATTTGGACATTATAGGGCCAATAATTAGAATGATCAAAGTAGGATTTGTAGGAATCATCAATGCCGAAAGAGAGAAAAAGCACATTTGATGCCCAGCCCCACTCACATAATCACCATCATCATCTCGTGTCAACGGTGAAGACCTACAAGCATCGAGGCCGGCCTTTTCTTGAATCATAAGTAAGTGAAGGCCAATAAGCTAGAAAACATGCTATTATTTAGTATTATAGTTCAGTAACATTCTTCTTTATCTATAAGTGAGGGGTTTTAAATTTTAATCTTATTAATAATGAATTCGAAACTAATTTATTCGTCCATCTTTTTACAGTGTAATTAATGATGGTTACTCAAAGTAATTCATGCGAGTGAGGTGATTCCAAACTTTTGATTGATTGCGTACAAGGCAAGTGTGCTACATTATGGCTTATTTGTACTTACTAATTCTCACAGATATCAAATATTTGGCTCTAGTGTTTCTTCTTCTTGAACAAAATTTGTCGCAAATCTCAATATATAAGAAACTCTGGGTTCATTTAATATAGAAATTATTTTTTTATATATTTTTCAAATTTTTTTTTTTTTAAAAAAGGAACATTTAGTATAGAAATTAATCATGGTTAGTTGAAAGGATACGTGGCAGAATTTAAGGTGTATGGGAAGCATACATTATAGTTTATGGTGGTGAGTAAAAATGCACTCAACTTCAAAAGATTCAATGAAGATTTACTTCAGACTCGTTCTACGATGACGTTTCATTGTATGATAAAAATTCGTTTTCAAATTCCACATAAGAATAAAGATAAATGCTCAAGGGACTCTCTCCAAAGTGAAACTCTTCATAGTCTCTATGCCACCTCATGTTTTTTTTATACAATATTTTATAATGTTGACATGGAAATGTTAAACTTTGAGGTGACAGAGAGTCTATATAAAACCCCACTTTTGATAAAGTCCCTTGACATTTCTCAACAATAAAACTCAAAAAAGTTAATAGTTTCAAAAAAAAAATTATTTGAAAAACTGATGTCATTTATCAAAGAAGTTTCAAATTTTCAAATTTTTTATAATAAAAATTAAAAGTTAGAAACTAAATACTAAAAATTGAAGAAAAATAAATGAAATGATTATCAAGCTGACCCTTATCTTATAAAAGGATCTAGATTATTGTGATCCTAAAATTTCTTCATGCTGCGTTTGGATGCGAGACTTTAAAATTCAAAGAAATTTTGGACTCAATTTTGAAAATGCACAACAAGAATAGTACCAAATTACTGATGAACTACAAATCCATTACCAAAACATAACTGCATTAAAGGTGTCGCTTGAAAGTTCCCTCACTTTCGGGTCATTTTATCTTATTTTTGCAGATCATGTTAAAGAGTAATAAAGTCTCACACTGAAAACATGGTTGAATCAATTACAACATATATTGAATGGTTTAATTGCTAATTGCATGAGTTTATGTAGCTTTAAAGCCCCTCATGGAAACACAACATAGGCATCTCTTAAGTTTTGTCTCATGCTAATAAAGTCTCACACAGATCATGTTAAACCTCATGTTTGTGTTTTTTTTAGTACATCAACATTTTTACATTAAGGAGAAGGGGAGTTCGGTAAAGTCACACAATGGGCAGCCTAATTGGTATTGAATTCGCCATCCACGAGATTCGAATCTAAGACCTCTCACTTCTAGGTGAAAAAGAATATCATCAGACCGTAATACTGAGTGGCTACATAATTTGTGTTGTTAAGAAAGGCATCTTGAGTCTCTACATAATTTGTGTATACATAAACCATCACATGAGCATAATAGCAAGAAGTCTGAGTCTCATTCTAACCATTGACGTAGAACAAGATATATGTCAATTATATAAGAAATAGAAAAAAAATGTAGAGATGCAAATTTAATGCGTAATGAGAATTTAGACATCCGATGGCAATCTATTTTAGTTGTTCAATTTCTCTCTCACTCACGAGTGACTTATTTCATGATGAATAAGATAGAGATTGAATTGTTAAGTTTCATTCAATTAAAGCCCAAAAACTAATAGTGATTTATATCGAGCTTTGTTGTTTGGGCTTTTTCTTCCCTATGGTGCCTTATAGGTTCCTCCTTGGGCCTGACAAATTTGTAACTAATGGAACCACAAATTGAGGCCTACGTCCTTTCCAAGTAACAATCCAATGGGAGGCTACATTTCTTGGATCGGAAATCCAATTGCAAGGACTACAATCCTGTACACAATCAAATTAAGGAGTAAGAATCCCTATACAACTTTAAAGCAAATCCTATTGTTTTCCATACGTACCCTCTCATTGGCTCCGGAAAAAACTTGCCAAATATATTCTGATTCCATACCCAATGGGTTGCTTGAAACTCAAGTAAACAGCACAGAAACCCTAACTGTTAACCCTCTTCGTTCTTTTTCCTTCCTATATCCCAAACATTAACAACTTTTGAAAGTCTTCAAACAATCGGCTAAGAAATTTTTTTTCTTTTGCTCTCTAAAAGTTAAAGAAAACTATGATGTTGGGAGAACCACAACTACAAGGAATTCAAGGTTTGTTCTATGGAAACTATGCCCCTCCTGATCTCCCACCAGTCCCAAGTCTACGACCCTTGATTCAAGTTCATAGCAAGCCTTTTGAGAAACAACTGACAAGTAGTGATGTGAGGGATGACCAATCTAGGCTCTCGATGAGCAAAGAAGATGTCGAAAATCACATCTTCCCGTTGTTTTAGGATGACGAAGACCCTAACCAAGGCGTTCATGTCACAATTTACGACATGGATGGTAAAGAGTACCCCATGGTGTTCAAAACTTGGATGTCCAAGATTAATGTCCTTACTGGAGGCTGGAACAGTTTTCGTCAGGATCGCAGGTTGGTTGAGAAGATTGATTTTGTGACAGTGTGGGTTTTTCGGAATGTGGTGAATGGAAGCCTTTGCTTCGCCATCAGTTCAAGAAGGTTTCCGGCAGTGTCCGAAGCCATCAAGAGAAGAAAAAGGCAGTACTGAGACAGCGGACCGCCGTTACAAGGTCTGTATACATATTGTCCTTGCGAAGGTTTATTTTAGGGGTTTTTCCTCATATTTCTGATTCTGGGCATAAGGTCCAATTATTAGGGTTCTTATGATGTTTAGGCATGCAAATGTCCGGAATTAATATGTGATTATTGGTTCAAGGAATGAAAAACAAATATATATTAATTGCTTTGGATTTCTTTGTGTTATTGTTTTATGTTGGTAGTTTCTTCTAGTTCGGTCCAAATCGTTGGGGTTGCTTTTTCCAATAAACGTTAATTATATTTTTTAATGTTACTTGTACCAGTAAACGGTTAATGGATGAGTGCTCTTGGAGTAGTCGATATGGCCATGAACTTACGTGCCTATGACTTCGTTTCTCAAGGAATTCATGCAGCTGAAGATAGATCAGCCTTATGAAAATCTTATATTTTAGAAGGAGGTTTGACTCAATGAAAACACTCTTTAAGAGAACTTTAACTTTAGCCGATGGTAACCAAGAAACTACCAATTTAACCTGGTAGGTCAGGAATGCTAAACTTATCAATTTTATCTGGTTAACCGTTGGGGCTCATGCAACCCATGTCGAATTTAATCATATTAATGCTTCATTGTTTTTCAATTGCATGAGTATTGGCACCATGTTCTAATTGGTCGTGCCAATAAATCAAAGGATGTGTTTATTAAGTAATGGAAAATGCCAGAGAGATGGTAGACAATATTATACCACATCTCTAATAAAGATATGGCCTATATTGTTACAATGTGGTTTACTGAATATAATCTCCCTACCATTACCCAAAATGTAACGCCTCCCATCAGGTACTAACATTTTATAAGATTTTATGCGATTTGGAAGTTTCACATCAGTTGTGTGCATAAAGAACTACCATACACCATATGAAAGAAACTTCCATGCCGGTGCGACTTCTTACCCTTCCCATCCGTCGCGTAATTGAGAGATAGGAAGGGTACGACAGTGACATCGGGGAGGGACATATTTTTCCATTGTATAGACTAAAAAAAAGCAGCAATAACCCTGAACATCATTCCAGCTATACTCCTCGAGAAGTACAATCTTATGGAAAACGTAATATTAGTTGATCTAATTTTCACACGACTTCAAACAAAATTCACAAGTGTAGCATACATAACCAACAGGTCAAGATGGTACAACGTCAAATAATTTAATCTATAAATTTATCAGTTATAAAACATCTTACGATGCGAAAAAGGAAAAAAATTCTGTGCCGCAAAGAATTTATCAAACAGATGAGCTCCGCGCATGGAGAGCTTCTTGTAGGCAGCTGGCTGCACCGTCGTAATTTAAGAATCCCATAAACCAGAACTCATGGTTATCGACAGAGATAACCTGAATGTACTTTTCAGCAGGATTGGATCTACTTGATGAAGGATTAACTGCTTTAAGCTGATGTAACGGGATAACCACCTATTAAAATTCGAGACTAACGGGAAATTAGTTCAAATAACAGATAAAAACTCGTTGACCAAGTACAAACAAAAACTCAGAATTAGAACATAATATCTGCTGAAAACACTAAGTCGCCAAAATTATTATGTAAAAGAATAGGATAAACAAATACAAAGTCTAATAGACCACATCATTGAGATAAAATAAACAAAACATTTCAACAAGATAGTATTAATAAACAAAACATTTCAACAAGATAGTATTAACACTCCTGAAATTAACCCCACTCCCTAGTTTCCTTCTGCCAATGCAATCTGCAAAGTTGTTCCTTGTCTTTCTTTTCATGAATCATAACACAACACAACACATACAAAAGTACAAACATGATATGACTACAGAAATACTACCACCAGCAGTTGTGCGACTCAGCATATTTTATAGGGTAAACTATCATTTGACCCCTTGAACTATTACTCCAGTTGAAATTGACCCCCTGAACTATGTTTTTGGTAAATTAACCCCCGGAACTATTTGTAATCAGCCACTTGACTCCTTATCGGTAAATTCCATCCACTATTTCGTCAATTTCAAAGGAAAATTAGTCTTTCCTTCATTAGTTCTTACTTGTCAACAATAACCACCAATGAAACTATGACACGTGAAAACAAAATAATGTGTAATGACAATGTGAGATGGTCTATTATGTAAACATTTGGTTTTTTTATGTTTTCTTATTATGTTATATGTTTTTAAATTATTCTCCATGTGTCAAAATTTTATTGATGGTTATAGCTGACAAGTAACAATTGATGATGAAATGACTAATTTGCCCTTGAATTTGATGGAATTGATTCTGCAATCTAACGGCAAGGGGTTAATTGACTGATTTTAAATAGTTTAGGGGGTTAATTTCAACTGGGGCGATAGTTTAGGGGATCAAACCGCAATTTACCCTATTTTATAATACACCTTCATCAAGAGTCAAGAAAATTATAAAAGGGAGAACATAAGAAAACAAAGTATAATTATTTACTATAGCCTCCCCCGATATACTAAAACATCAATCCTACCTGCAACGTGGTAATTATTTATAGGTGTTGTTTACAATGCCAAGTGAATTCACTTGCTAATCTAGCCAAAACCTTCAACAATGTTGAACTAATGAAGATCACAAATTCACTGAAGATGACAAAGAACAAAAGTACAGAACCAAACTATCAAACCCGAAATTCTATAACACAAATCATGTTGAAGATTTAAGTGTCTAACTTGCAAACAAAAAAAATGCTGCTCATCCATTGGGATCTAGCATGTTATTCTTATGCTTGCCCCTCGAGACAAACTTCCTTTTGAACATCCATTCCAAATTCTATTGTCCTCATCGTTTGAGGTCGAATAACAAAAATGGTTAATGTGAGGCTAAACAATCTCATAAACAAGCTTACTTGAAGATTGAAACTCATGAACATTTTTTTCCTAAAAAGCCAAAACTCAGCTCGGCACTTGCCCAACTCTATGCAACATCTATTTCTTTTTTAGTAAGAGTCTTGAAGACTTTCTGTAAACAAAGTTGAAATGGACTAGAAATACTTGCAGTACAGAGGTTCACAAGCTCCGATAGAATTACACCAGAACAAAAGTTATATACCTTAACTGTAGCATATTAAGTGTTGATATAGTCCTATCATTGTCAAATCTATGTTCCTTCACTACTTAGATGCAGAGTCACAGTCAAATTAGAACACAACAGTGTATTTCCCCAAGATGGCTAGTTGCACGATTTTCTAATATGAAAAACTATCACGATTGTCTAATTTGAAAAACTACAAATTACTCAATAATGCATCCCTCAATATAGTTGCTAGTTAAATGAAATCCCATATTTGAAAAAACTTCAAACGACACAATAGTAAGTTACCTTGTAATAGCTCCATTCAGTTTGGCTCTCAGCTTTGTATGAAATGGGATTATCACTACAATAGGCAAGTTTTGCAGTAGAAACATATAAAACTCCCATGACTGGACCAGCTGATGTGGACAAGTAGCATGCAAATGAATTTTGAAGTTGCTCCTCGGGAGTTGTCTCAAAAGTTGATCGAAAGATCTTCTCGTAACCACCTTCTGCAAGGACCTTTGTTCCTTGTGCAATTCTTCCCATGGCAGCGTCAGCGAAACTGGGGCTTGTTTTTACTAGCTTGAAAGAAAACGGGATGATTATTGACTTCATCCATCACAATCAATGCTTAGGATCAACAAAATGCACAAACTAAATTCTAAAACATAGAAAGAGGTAAGATAAACAGAGAAAAACAAATTGGGGAGATCAAGTAGAATGCAATCCCATTTTCTCTCATGAAAGCAGACATTTTTCTGGGCATTCAGTGTGAACAAAACAAAAGCATTCAATGGGATTAAGTTCAAACGGTTAGAAAAACTGGAGCTTGGTACTAAAAACCATAATGTACTTAACAACTTTCAAGCACCCCGCTAAGCGTTTTATAAGAATTTTGGCTAATCTTCCTCCCAAATTTTAAACTTTTGATTCTCATGTCAATCAAAAGATCTACCAAATAAAATTAGAACACACCACACCTGTAATTAATCCGAATAACCAGCAACGAGTAAGGCGTCAAAAAATTGAAATGTGAACCCCTAAATATATCTGTAAGAAATCGATGATAGTAATCCACCAAAACCATTAAATGGCAATAAACAAAACAACCAACTACGCCGATTTGAACGTAATCTTAATACAATTCCCATGGTTTCGAAATATATATACATTGAAATTAATTGAAATATAGTAAATCAGCAGAGATCAACAAGAAAGAGAAGAAACAAAAAACAAGCAGAAACTCACAGTGCTGCCATGTGTTTCCAGCGAGATCCTCCGCCTTCTTAGTAGCCTCCCCCACCGACTTCCTCCATCTCCCAAACACGTTCCGTACAGTGTCCACGGAATCTAACCATGCACGCATACACATCAAATACTAATACACAAGCTTCAAATCTATATACGAATGAAAATACATATAAAAATACGTATGAAAATACGGAAGCACGGATACTGACCTTTGAATGAGAAAGATTGTGAGAGCATAGGGGAGGGAGCGGATCCCTGATGGGAAGAATGATCCGACGCAGCGGCGGTATTGTGGGACTCCGACACCAATTCCGGGCTCCAATGAACCGATTTCTTCGACCCCGAACCCGTGGGGGTGGAGACTGCCTCCGTCGAAGTCGGTTGAGCCTGAGCCTGCGAGGCCGTCACGAAGCTCGCCCAGTTCCGATCCCCGTTCGGAGCTTGGGCTGCGGCTTTCGGGTTCGGATCCTGGGCGGCCGGAGTGTGCGTTTTGGCGTCGGCCTCGGTGGTGGGCTTGGGCGGATCCATTGTTCTACAAGATGCCGGTGCGGATGCTGGATCGAATTGGCGCGTGATGATCTGTTTTCTCTGTGTGTGATTATTTTGACCTTGATTCTAATTTATTTTTGTGTTAATCTGGAATTTGTAAATTCGAGGGTTGACAGGGAAGAAATGGGATCATTGGAGGGACGCGTTTAGCGATAAGGACGGTAAACTTTGATACCGATAGACTCTCGTTTTATAGGACTTCGGACCCACCGTTGATATTCCCTCTCTGAACTTCCACGTGTTTTTAAATTTTCTGTAAATGTGCGAGTTTATTGAAGAAAGGTTCTTCAAATTTTAACTCAGACTTAACTTCTGTTCCCAAAAGAAACATTCCTCTCTAATAAATTTTATAATCATTGCAATTATACCAATTAACATACTAAAAAAAAAAACCTAAGTGTTCAATTTATTTTATATTGTACAAATTCAATTTATGTATGTACTCCCGAGAAACATAAAATACTTTACTCTATTTCATATTTCACAGATTGGGAGTAATTGAAAAAGCCAGACCCAATACAATACAAGCGAGAGAAATCCCATCCCTCTCTTTCCTTTTTTACGCCCCCACGTCGCCACACAGGAGGGACAACGAGACGTAAAAAAGGGGATCCTATCAACTTGGGAGTAAAATTTAAATTTTAGCTTTTAAATTTATTCCAACTTACTCTAACTCTTGGGCCAAAAATGAGTTTTGGGCTAAAATTTATTTTTGGGGCAAATTTTGGCCAAGATTTAAAGTTAGTGGGCTTGCCCACTACTGCGTGTGGATGCACCCTAGAAGGAGACACACAAACAGCACAGATGCGCCCAATGTCCTCAACGCACGAGACGCTGACAGCGTAGGGGTCCCATGCATGTGGGTGTGTCAGCCAACATTAAGAGCCCAACAACTATTTCTTTCTTCGAACAATGGGGAGCAACGGACCATTGGATGGAACCAACGGTCCAGATTCAAATTTTGTTAATTTTTAGTTTTATATTTATAAATTCATTAAATCTAATGCCTGAGACATAATGTGATCAAATCCAACGGGAAAAAAAAAATCTAATGGTCCAAATTTAAATCCAACAGCTAAATAATTTTAAAAAATTATATTTATATAAAAATTCACCCAAAAACTCTATAAAAGTTGTGGCCAATTTATGTGACAATGGTTAGAGAGGTGTGGCAAGAGAGAGAGTGTGTGGAGAAGTATGTGTTATTTGAGGGTGTGTTATTCCCCTACGCAATACCTTTATTTATAGTAATAAGAAAGAGAAGAATCCTTGTACTCGAAGGAAATACAGTCCTAATAGGAAGAGAATAACTAGTAATCAAATCTATTTAAGATTTATACAATCACACTTTAATATAATATCTATAACTGTGAAATCCTGTCCCCGGATTTCACTGTTTAAAATTATGTATTTCATACTTGTATACGTAGTCTCAACTCATTTATATTTACAACGTATAATTTTTTCGATTAATAAAAAGATGAAAACGTCCCTAATGGACTAAACATGATTCTTCGAGATAGTATTTGATCCTACATATTTTTCTAGGTTTCTTGGCATATTCATATAGTATGTCTCAATACGAAAGCGTGGCGCAAACGAAATCTGATTCGGAGTTATAATGAAGATTTTACAAACCTTTGAACGTTGAGGGCAAATTGGTAATTTGACATTTGGAACATATGTGGCTTTGTTTTTGGTGCCATGTGGGACCCAGGGAGGAGTCCTCAATCTTCTGGAACACTCTCCCTCTGCTTTTTATCTCCCGGGATTCTTCTGTCCCACCTTACTCATGAACTCTCTTTTCCTCCCGTGAACACCACACCATTTCCACCTTTCAAATTTTGGCATTTTGATTACTAGAACCACTACAACTTTTCTCTCCTCACCACAACAAACTGAGTTGTGGGTTATAATTTGTGAAGACTGAGCAAAAATTTGAGAAGAACCAAGTTTCAAAAGCATTGTTTTGAGTTGTGAGTTTCTCGATGTTTTTCTTGTTGATGTTGACTAAGAAATCCGGTGAGTTACCCAGTTTTTCGCCCAACCAGTCGCCTTTCAAGTTGTTTTTTGGTCACCTTTGGCCACCATTTGGCTTCCAAACAGGCGACGATCGTTTGTGACGCCTCGATATTCGTACATAGAGTCATAACGCAGACTCCAGGTGAGTGACTTTAATATATATATTACTGGTTATTACCCAACGTGCTCGTATACTTTATGGATACAACATGATTTTATAAATGTGTTTTATAATAAATTGTTACTTTTAAATTATCCCATTGATCTGTTTTATGAAATGTGATTTGAAATGCATATTTGAGATATGATTTGAATTGTATGTTTAGTATTATGTGATGAAATGTGAAGGCTAGTAGTAGACTGTTAACCTATTTTCATGGGGAGTTATGTTTCTTGGACTCTACTCGATTTCGTTGAGTGGTCCGGGACTAGGTTTCGCTGGAGTTTCGTTAAGTGGTCTGGTTCCCTGCTCCCTCTAGATTTTGTTGAGTGGTCCAGAATCTCTTGTACTCTGCGATCTCGTTGAGTAGTCCAGAATCGTATGCTGCTTTGGATTTCGTTGACTGGTCCGAAATCCCTTGTACTCCGCAATTCCGTTGAGTGGTCAGAAATAGTATCCCACTCCATTGAATGGCCCGGAATCCCTTCTACTCCGTGATTTTGTTGAGTGGTCAAGAATCCCGCTTTGTAGTTTGGTTCCGTTGAGTGGTTCGGAATTCGATGTTGTTGGATTTCGTTGAATAGTCTAAAATCATATTCATTGACTTCATTAATTTGTTGATACTTGGAATTGTAAGCTTCGGTCGAACTATGTCGCTCTAGCTCTACTTTTTAGTGTATTGTATGAATTATAAATTATGATTTTTGTGGTTGTTTTACAAAGTTGATGGATGTTTGTGTGACTCCTTTGGGATTTCAGTGGTTTGTTTATGATTTTATAAAGAATGAATTGATATTTGATGTTTATAAACTGTGATCGATAGATAGGTTTTAATATTGTCACATACGTCGAATTATTGACACTCACACGAGCTTCACAGCTTATCCGGGTTGTTGTTTGCCCATTGCACCATTCCCACAATTTAGGTGGCAATTGCGCAGGTTTTAATTGATATGGGAAGCTTCGGGGTAGCATTCAAAATTCAAAGCTTGGAGTGTTAGGTTATCGCTATGTCTTACAATGTACTTTCTTTTGGGAACCTACGGGCATGTCTTGGCCCTGTGTCAATATTGTAAATTTTAGTTTAGTGATTTAGTTTGTATTTCCGTGGCACCCCCTAAGTTGACCATCGCATGTCGATCCTAGACGTATGTTTGGGATTGGGGCTTGACAATAACACTATTCCTTGAATGTGTAAATACTCAAGTAGATTCGTTATCAAGTAGGATTGAGGAAGTCGACTCATTGGCATCGATTTTGGGAACACGCTAGTCTTAGACAAAGGAATATGGAACTAAGTCTCACAAAAAACGCATTAACTATGATAAAAGAAGAGGCGGGACAAAAATCCATAGTCTAAGGAAAAGTGCGTGAAAAAGTGCAAAGTCAAATGAAACGTGTACATCAAGAATATGACCAACCCAGGAAGGGTGCCTAATCAAAACCTCGTTAGGTAGCAACAATCAAAAGGGAAAAATGCTTATAATCATAGGAAAAATAAAAGTATATTAAGATCAAGCAAGTATACATAAAGATACTTATTCCTTGAACAAGTTTTTGAAACATCGTCCTCAGTAGTGATTTGGTGAAGAGGTTGGCCAGGTTGTCTTGGGAATGGATTTGCGTGACTTCAATATTCTGATGCTCTTGTTGCTGATGTGAGAAGAAAAACTTCGGCGTAATGTGCTTGGTGTTGCCTCTTTTGATGAATCCCTTATTCAGTTGTTTGATACATGCTACTTATCTTTATAGATTGTTGTAGGGACATCAACGATGGGAAGAAAATCTCAAGTGCTTCGAATGTAACCCACAACTGTTCTCAGCCAGAAGCATTCATGAGTAGCTTCATGCAAGGCGAGTATTTTAGAGTGGTTCGAAGCTATGGCAGTTAAGGTCTATTTGGTTGACCTCCAAGATATTATGGTGCCTCCAACGGTAATGGTAACCCATTTCAGAGTGTGCCTTATACAGGTCAAATAAGTATCTTATGTTTGCATAGCCAACAAGGCGAGAATCGATTCAAGAACTGAGAGGGATTGCTCAACCTCTCAAGGATTTGTAGGGATTGAACAAACCCAAATCTATCGTACCTTTAAGGTAGCGGAAGATGTCTTTAACACAAGTCTAATGTTTGCGTGTCGGTACATTACTGTATCTTGCTAAACGATTAACAACGAAGGAGATGTCAGGTCTAATGCACTGAATTAAGTACAATAAAATGCCTATCACACTTAGATAAGGAACTTCGGGTTCCAAAATCTCATTTTTATCCTCATTCAGACGGAAGGGATCTCGTTTTGCATTTAGCGATTAAACAACCATAAGATTACTCGAAGGCTTCGCTTTATCCTCATTAAAACGGCGCAACACCTTCTAGGTGTAATTCAATTGATGGACTATGCTTCCATACGAAAAATGCTCTATCTCAAGGCCGAGATACTATTAAGTTTTCACAAGATGTTTCATCTCAAATTTCAACTTCATGTGCATAACAATTTGCTCAAGCTCTTCAGGAATCCCAATGAGATTCATGTCGTCGACATAAACTTAAACAATCACAAAATTAGAATACGACTTCTTAATGAACACACAAGGCATAGTTTGTTGTTCACATACCCCTGACTTATCAAATATTCATTCCAATAGTTATACCACATCCCCCGGGATTGCTTCAATCCGTAGAGTGAACACTTTAGCCAAATAGAGAGTGTGTTCCGTGGTCTAAAACCATTTGAACCAGTCAATGTAAGTCATTCGGGAACTTTCTTATGAAATTATGCATTACAAAGCTCATAACAATTCTTAACGATAACCTAGTTGTAGCCAACGGGCTTCACATGTAAAGGAATAAGAGTTACAGGCCCAAACACCTTACGTTTTGCAAATGAATCGAGTTCGACTTGGATTGCTTGTTTCTAGTTTGACCAATTAGTGCTACGTCGACATTCATCAATGGAATGAGGGTTCAATGTCATCATTTAGTATGATCTT